ATTCAGTGAGGATGAATTGTACGTCCATATCACATAATTACCGAAGTGCTGCTTCAGTGCATCGGAAAGCAGAAAACAAAAGCGAAATTAATGGCTACGCACGTCATGACAGTGTCCGATCCATTCGTTTCATCGCTAATTCACTGCCCTCCGGTCTGAATTGCGATGGACCGTCCTGGTGAAAAGCGACGCGCTGACTGAAGACACGCGGGGCCTACGCGTACTTCCGAAACGTCTCTTCATCTTTCACTGCAGTTATCCCCCCCCCCAAAAAAAAAGAATTCCGTAGAAGCGTCAAACACAAGTGTCGGCGAACATACGCAAACATCGCCCATAAGCGCATTCTTAAATCACGTGATGGTTCTACAAAGCACACAATCCATACCCTGAGGAATACATGATAATGAAATTTATACACGACGTTTCGGAAGTCGATTGTTGTTGACGATGACGATTGAGGCGATTGTCAGTACAGTGACGGACTGTCCGGTGTTCAAGAGATGCCAGTAATCTTTAAACAAAAAGTGACGAACACAAAAGAGATTAATAAATACGCTGTATCAATGAATCAAACTGCTCGGACGATCGTTTCCACAAAGAACGTTTCACGGGGCACGGGCTAGATTTATATTCTGTGATACCTGGCATTAAACAAAATTAATCGGGGTACAGATTTCGTGGTGACCCCAAGAAATATGTGGACAGCGATCTGAAACATGCCTCGACGTTTCCTTTCGAATTTTTACCTACTCAGCATCTCCGCCCACGCAAAAGACAGCGCACGATAAATGACCTGACGTTTGCACCCGTTCTGTACCGGAAATGCGAATCTGCGCATCATCTGAACCTGTTCACCCACAGCTGGTCCGTTTCTTTTTCATCCCGTTCTGACCTTCCGAAGACGCCTTGAAAGCGGTTGAGCAGCACGTGTTCCTGAAGAAGGCCTACTTGCACGTGTCGATGTTGACTTTCTTGGTGGCAAGGCCGTGTGGACTTGTAGGTAGACACCGACGTCTCGGAGAAACACGCTGCCTCTATCTTCAGGGGTGACGATCTTCGAAATGCTACCCAAGAGTCCACACGGCGTCGCGTCACAGTCGGAAGAAAAACATCGCCGACGCCTAATTACGCCAAATCTAAAACACGTGACTGTGATTTTGTATTTACGCACCGTGGAGTAGTAGTAGGCCGACTAGTGGAATTAATTATACCGATAAATGATCTGGATTCTATTTAATGTCGTTCTTCACAAAACTGGGTGCAAAGGTCAGCTCGGACTCGCAACATCCTCGAAAGACCGACCGACAGACACACTCTGTATTCATTCATTTCTCGATGGGTTCTGCGCCAACGAGGCGAAGTGCTGGTCAGACTGACTTACCTTTGACCTGCGACGCCGCCGACGAGTTGGCCTTGTTCTCCGTGTAACTCAGCGCCCTGGAGAAGTGTTCGTCGACCACGGAGGCTACGTCCCCAGAGTAGTGCGTGAACACGACGCAGTTGGCGGACACGTACTGCGCCCTGCTGCCAGGACCCGCCTCCTCGTCGTCGTCATCGTCTTCCTCGAGACCCGCTGTGCCACCACCTGCAACGTAACGGCTGTGGCAGTTCAGTTCGTGTCTGCCGGACGCGCGAGGGCACCCGCCCTTTCGGGCATCGTCAGCACTTCTTCGCTGACGAGCGTAATCTAGCTACATCGACGTTTCCCGACACTTTTCAGGACAGTGTTCCGACGTGTACTTACGCATTTCCGAAGCTCTGTCATCTATAAACGTGTGATAACGTAACAAGTTGTGTCATTGATGGCTCTACATTTATCACGTAACTGGGTGGGGAGGTGATATCATTATCAACAGCTAAGGATCTGGAAGGAAGCAGTCGTGGTATCGCCATGAGACTCGGAGTTATAAGGTACTACCTCGAACTTCAATGCCGTAAACTGCAATGACACACATCGGCAGTGTTCTTGAGAGTCTTATGACGCCGATTCATGATAAGTAATCGCCTTAGAAACTAGGCCTCTAGCTTGTCCTCAGTCTTCAGAGGCAGTCGAAACTCTGGTTGTAAACGCCAGGAGAAAGAGAGAGAGAGAGGATGGAACCAGAAGGAGTAACGCCGATCGGCTGAATTTGTACCACCTGCCCACCCTTGGCAGCGCGCAACTCGCCTTATTCGAATCGTAGCAACCTGCGTGCCTACCTTCCCCGGAACTGGCGCCGGCGGCCGTGTCCTCCTCCTTGTGACGTAGCACGGACACGGGAGGCGACCCGGGACTCCCGACGCCTCCGCCCCCGGAACTGACGGAGCCAGCGCTGCTGTGGTGGGAGGAATGGTGTGCGTGGTACGCGTCGATACTCGCGGGTAAGGACGACGCGGATGACGAGGGCTGCTGGTGGTGCTCCAGGGACCTCTGGACGTTGAACTGCAACACAAAGCATCAAAGCGCCTGTCAGCCGAGTAGAAACTCGGTGTCATTTATACCTTTAACAGAACATGTTTCGGGCTCTGCCTGCATCCTTTCTGCAGAACACTTCCTCGCGGTTTAGGAACGCAGCTAAGATTAGCCCTTTGACATTAATTAAGGCCGCTTGAACTTCTTCCAGCAGATGGAGACACTTGTTACTTGCTTGCTTCTGCGTATAATAACTCTCATTATTTCAAACAAATGTCGTCCACTCTGCAAACGCAAGAACACACAATCTTAAATTGCGTATAATTACTCTAACCTGTACAATTAAACAAAACAGTTTATCGGCAAGGAAAGGGAAACTCACGAACGAGATGGCAATAAGAAAAGAGCGCCGACGGCCTTTAGTGAGGAGAGTCACTTGTTTTATTTCATGGACCAGCGAGCTCGCAGGCTCCATCTTATGGCTGGACGGCGTTCAGTCAAGATGTCGAAGGCGGAAACAATCGACTTCCAGTCTGCGCAGAATTTATAAACGCCCAATCTCAGCACCATAAAAATGAGCACAAAATACGCACACCCCAAAAAGAAGGAAGGTTTGTCTATCAGCTGCTGCGATGCGCACAGAATTTTAATAGGAAATCCTGAAGGAAAGAAAGAGTGCAGATGGGTAACCTAGACGTAGGAAAACATTAGAACCAGCAAGGATATGGAATGTGTGGTAGGATAATATTAAAATGAAACTTAAAGACAGACGCGAGATATGTGGAAGTGGTGACACGACATTTTCTCTGAAGTGGACACTGCAGCCACGTTCGACAGCCCAGCGCTTTAAAACGCGATCCTGAAGGGGCACAACAGAACCTGGCGTCAGGCGCAGAAGAAATGAGATACAAAACAATTGAAAACGGGACGAGTCCACTGAATTTTATTGTTCACGAGGATCGAAGGAAAAAAAGTAGAACAAAGAAACAAGAGTGCGAAGGAGTGAGAGACAGTGATAAATAAGGAGAGACGCTGGATGGAAGGAGAGACGATAAAACATCCGGCCGCAAATCGTGCCTTTGCCTGCGGGTGTGGAAAATTAACAAGTTTAATTCGTTTCACCAAAACCACCTGAAATCAATCGTCCAGACGCCGCACAGCTCCGATCGCAGGACGACAGAATTTCGCCTGTATCCGCACTTAACTGTCAGCCAGTGGCAAACAAGTCTACGTAACTCTGTAGGTACCATTTGCATTAACAACGAACATTTCTGCATTTTGCCCAAATGTACTTATGTTTTTTTATTATTCTCATTAAAGCTCGCGAAACAATTGTCAGTAACCCATGGTTCGACCTGTTCAAGCCAAATAACATTTGGAAATATCCATTACAAAGATCAATTGGTTAATATCGATGTTTATTCTGCAAATCATATGAAACCCACAAATACCCTCTGTGGGCAAAATGCAGTTATTGCTTGTTAAAGAAAGTGGTACATCTAGTTACCACTGAGTTTGAAAGGGATAAAGTGCGTGGGGAAAAACACACACACAGAGCAGCCACGTCACGCTTATGCCACTGTTGCAGTCTCACGCTCTGACGGCTTAAACCGTTCCCTAAAAACACACACATGATCTTTTTGTTCGCATTCAATACAGTCTAACAGGAAAACAGGAGGAGAGATTAGAAGATCATTCAAATAAAAAAAATTAGACTTTAAATTTAGAGGCGCGATTAAATCTACAATAAAATACGACTCTAGTCAAGAGCGGAAGACGGTCGGTCGTTCAAAGCACGACGCGGACACAGCTCCGAGCGGCCTCTTGAGCACACTGAAGACTTACTGCCCGAAGTTGGAGAAGCAAGGAAGACCTGTCCCTCGATCGCTGGACACACTCAGCCTCGCCTCGATTCAAAGCCGCACGTCACACTCACATGGGCGTCAAACCCCGAGTTCGACGTCGCCGCGACGAGAACTTCAAATGTCGTGCAGGAAACTTCGTCGCCGAAAACAATCAAGACTTTCTTTCAAAATAAAATCGAGCACGAAATTGCTACTCACTGCAACGTCGGTTTACCTAGAGATTTAATTAATTTCCAGAATATTTTTCGACATGGAGTACGCCCGTATGTAACTACATGTAGCGGAGATGTTCTTGAGAAGCTGGTCGTCTCTCAACCAGTCAAGAATCCCTAATGTTCATCACAGTGCTAACAACAGCCCGAGAGTCGACCCTGCATGAGCCCTTATCCTCCTCACACCACAGTCCCTTAAGGTACATTTTTTAACAGTTATCTTTCCGTCTATCCTCAGGTCTTCCGAGTGACTTCTTCCCTTCATATTTTCCTGTTGAAATTCTGGCATCTCCTACAGACAGTCACACGTCCTGACCATGTCATCCTCTCTTCTTCTTACACGGAAATAATTTTTGAGAGTAAAAATTACGGCGCGCACAAGAACGAGCATGTCCACCGTCGGCCACGACTAAACATTAATACAAACTGCGTACACAGAAACACAAGAACACTTGTACGCCGAATTACGCCTGTCATAAACCACGATTCGCCTTAACACACAAACGAACGATGGAAGACGATGACTTACATTCAGTTGACGTATTTTAATCTGAAACACATTCCAATTCAATTACTCCTTCACCTGCGCCAATGCTGTTTCTTTGTTCTTTTAAGTGAGGTGGTAGCCCTGATTCATTCATTGTTCCCTGTTTCTGACTCAAGCTCATATTGCACAAGAAGGGAAAACAGCGCAATTCATGAAGACAGGCTCCGACTGGAACAGCGCATTCAGAAGGCGTGGAGCTTCAAAAGTTTGTAACTCCTCGCAAAATATTAGACAGACCAAGTCAAGAGGATGAGATGGGCAGGGCTTGTAGCCCGCATGGGAGAAAAGAGGAATGCATACAGAGATTTGGTGAGAAAACCGAAAGAAGAAAGACCACTGGGAAGACCTAGACATAGGTGGGAGGATAATATTACAATGGATCTTACAGAAATGGTTTGAGGGTGGCATGGACCGGATTAATCTGGCTCAGGACAGCGACGAATGGCGGGCTCCTGTGAACACGGTAATGGCCCTTCGGGTTCCATAAAATGTTGGAAATTTCTTGATTGGCTGAGAGACGATCAGCTTCTCAGGATGGAATCGGCTTCATGGAGTACAGTAAAGAACAGAAAGGCAAAGAAACTGCGTATTCCAAAACAAGGAACCTGACAACAAGACGAATTTTGGTCCTTCTTATAACAGCCGAAACGACGGAAAACATTTTCTGCGTGAAATTCTGCAAGGCACAAAATGTAACACCCCGGATTCACAACGCAACGAAGAAAAAGAATACTTCGCAATTAAGAGAAAAACCTAGCGGCGCAGCATCCAGGTACAGGATCTCGTAAGAGACTCGCTCTTACTACGACTGGGTTTTGTCCTGTCCCCTTGCAGCTTCCCAGACTCCGACTTCTCAGACGACTGACTTAATCAAGTAACTTATAACTTACGGTTGTCTTTATCACGGCCACACAGAATTTTAAATACTCGAAGAACACGTGAGCCATCAACACATTCAAGCATTCATGACGTGCGATGGCTCTCATGGAAACATTCGTGTGCGAAGTACAGACAGAGCTCTGTATCTCGCAACTACGAGTAGTTCTCAGACTGTCCAGTGCACAAACCCCGCGGTCTGCTCAACCTACCAGCGCCATATTACAGCCAGCTTTTTAAGACAACAAGACAACAGTCTGCAGACGATGATGACAGGCGAAGTTACTCGCACATTAAATAATTTATTCGCTTACCACGAACCATCGAAAGTGGGTAGAATCTGTCGTGCTGAATGAGTATCTGCATGCATCTGAGACACTGACAATGTGAAAGTCACTTTTCCTGTCAACAAATTCCTCGCCTTTTATGGAACCCGATGGTTCTTTACTGCAACCACAAGAGTTCGCCATGAATTCCCACCCTGAGACAGAGAAATCAAGGCTACAGCCTCACAAACTATTTCTTTAACGTCATCCTCACTTATAACAACTGCCAAAAACGTCATGTGTCCAGCAGAAGCTGTGTTTAAATCAAAAACATCTGCAGGTCTGTTCCTTCCTCACGATCTTGAAAAATCCTTACAAACTGCGTGGGTGGTAGCATCACAAAGCCCCATTTCTATTGGCTGTACTAGATAATAAATTCAATTCGTTTATTTGTGTGATCGTACACTTATCTGCCGCATAACATAAGGATTCAAAGCAAGTCATAATCGCCATCATTCAATGTTGCAGCCCACACAAGTCATAAACGCCATCATTCAATGTTGCAGCCCACACTGAGATAAAAAAGACCCATCGTCCACGACTTTCTTCCGAGCAGCAGAAAGTTGACGAAAATGCGTTTAAAACTGAGACAGTAGTGCATTTTGCTGAAGTAGGATTAAGGCAAAGGTTGTTTGAGTCTGTGCGGGGATTCCCCTGATGAACTATGTGGAAGAAATTCCTCCCCGCATTCCAGCAGAGTCGCTACCTTGCAGCATCCCTACGGACTCACACTCGATCCCAACCTGCAGATATTTCCTCGCTGAAAATCCTCAACCTTCTACGTCGCGTTCTGCTCTTGCCGGCAAGTAAGCTCCCGTTTTTAACAGCGAACGTCCAATGCGAGTGACTACGTCCCTTCGATTTCACAAAATCTTATTAACTCGTAACCATTTTCTTCCGAAGATTTTCCAGAGTCGTAGCGACACATTCGGTGCGCTTGTGGCCAACAAAACCAAGCTTCCAGACGCTCGCTCGTGGCAATTCTATTTATGTAAACAGACCCACTGGTCTAGACGAGCAATCACAGCGAGGCGGACGGGGTTCATTCGCACGCGGAGACACTTGGAGCATTCTTACACCCACAGCAACCACCACCAATGTCCAGAACAGATTCACACCCTCGTGGCCTATCAGATGGGTAAAGACGGGCGCAGCGTAGAATATCGTCTCTTTTCTACTTGTCTCCACCAATCAGGGAGGAAGT